AAGGAACTCGCAGTCCAGAGGGAATATAAATTCTTTGCTCAAAATATATCCTGTATTCTTCCACTATGCATTGATGCATTTATACTTCTACAATTTAACATTTGCTTTTAACAAAATAAAACATGGCATTGGACTGCATAGAGAAGTATAACTAGAAACACAGCTATATTAGTATAACACACGCCTAAACAGGTGGGCAATATGAAAGTTGTAAGTGTTACTGCTTTCAGTAACATAGCTCTTCGAAAAAAACAAAACAAAACACCTTTAAGCATGTCAGACCACTTCTTGTAAGATGTTGTGTTTTATTTTTAGAGTAGCATTTGTTGCTGTGTATTTTCTTGCAGGCAGATATTTTTTTTTTTTTTTTTTTAGGCTGCTGGGTTATGAAACACTTGTATGGATAGAACTCATCAGAGGGAAGGTTTGGTTCTCTGTGATGTGAAATGGCACTTCATACCCATCAGCCTGCATCTAGTCTTTTACTGCATCACAGGATTGTAGCCGTCCCTTACATTGGGAAAAATTTTGTCTTGGCCTTCCCCCTCTGCATTAAATTGAAAGCTCAAATTAGGCCAGAGCTTGAAATAATTCAATCTACTAAGGTTTTCAACAAAATATTTTAAGTTTCCTAACTCTACTATTTTATTTATTCTTCAAAAAAGCTGGAATCATATTAGAAAAAGATTTATCTGAATGGCAAGCAGAAATCATTACCCAGGCAGATAAGCCTATAAAGCATTAAAATTTATCTTAACACAAAATACAGGGCCTGGTTGTGGCACACTCTGCCTATTTGTCTAGCAGACATGTAACAGAGAAATGGTCCAAATGAGTTTAATAAATCTCTTTCTAAAATTCACAAAAGACCACATCCTCACTTCCATAATTCTATTAGAGTCTGTTCCTTTGGAGGAGATAAAAGAAGAGATAACCTCTCCATTCAGAATATAAAATAGCAATTGTTCAGCTGATGATTGGAATATTTCCAGTAGAAGGACTTAATTATGGTACAAAATTAGCTCAATCTGACCTTTTTAGTGAATAATGCAAAAATAAGTTTTTTTGTAAATGTCTTCCTGGAATAGCTAAAATAAGGAATAATTTAGTTCACTTTTTCAACAAGAGCAAAAGGTGCTAGCATATGATAGCAGCATTCTTGGTGAGATGACAATCCAGGGATAATAATAAGACAGCATTTGCAGAAAGGGATAATATATTTTAATAGACTAGCTGATACAGTTTAAAAACAGATAAGCTTTCAGACACACAAGCCCTTTGTAGCAAGAGCAGGTTCCCCTCTGTGACTCAAAATTGCTAGCTTAATTTCTAGATGGCGTAATGATCGTGTCATAGAAATGCACAGAAATGTATGGTATCTGTATTAATTACACACTGAAAGCTCCTCTTGGGATAAAGACAGAACATACTGTTGCAATCTCTATTCTATCTAAGTGATAAATAGGAGTGTGTACTTGCGCCCACAGACCTACAGACTGGGTGTGATGCTGCATGTTAAAGCATTTCTCTACAGGTGTTTAGTTAGATGAGTTTATCTGTATTGAGGCACTCCTCACTAGAGGAAAAAAAAAAAACAAAAAAACAAAAAAAAACACACACACAAAAAAAACCCAAAACAACAAAACAACCAAAACCATACATAAACTGGAGAGAAAAGCCTCGTCTGTTTTATCAGTCCTATCTCTGATTTGGTGACATTTTGAATGCCTCTAAGCCATGCTGATACTACTGCGTACAAGGAAAAAAAAGGCATGAACAGGTGGCAGTATTAACAGGCTTCTTATGGTTCTGAATAATGAGATAGAAATGTTTCATGTCATGAAAGTCAACATCAATAATCATCCATCTTGTGTAGATATGGAAGTCAGCCAGTGTGGTTCTTGCTGAGGAGGCGTGAGATATTTCTTTTGCATCGGAGCTGTTACTCTGGACACAAGTCATAATTTGTCTAATATAGATGAATGAGGAGAATATTACTAATACTTCCTTTTTTTTTTTTTTTTTTTTTTTTTTTCTTCTGGCACGTTTCCTGAACTGAATGAAAGGTTCCTGATACCTACTTTTAGCAATGGGAGACATTTCCTCTTTTGCTCTTTTTAAGGTCCTTTTCACAAAGATTCTTTAAAAGTAGTATATTTATAGCTTCCCAAGGATCTCGCATTTCCCCGTCAAGCTTCGGAGCTTGATGTGAACTCATTTAACAGCAGGGGATTGCCCTAAGTCTTTGCCTGTAATTTTTATCTGTTGCTTTTCCAGGCAAAGACTTACTCACTTCCCACTTTGCTGCATATTATACATAGAAAACAACTTTTTCAGAAGATCTGAGTGTTAGTGTTTGTTTTCCTTCAGGGTGATCACTGTCTCTCAACCATAATCTATTTTCCTAACAAACGCCTTGGAATCGCTTTGAGAATCTACAGGATCTTTTTGAACCAACACTCCAGGCTCAGGGAATGCAAGCCAGGGAAAGGGAAAAAAAAAAACAACAACCAACCAACCAAAAAAAAAAAAAAAAAAAAAAAAAAAAAAAAAAAAAAAAAAAAAAAAAAAAAAGAAAAAAGAAAAAAGAAGGATTTGTTTAGGCAGAATTTTGGTAACTGCTGTAACTGCTCTCATGTCATTGTTGTCTGTATTTTGCAATCCCTTAAATCAGTACAGTCACTTATGTGCTTAATATGATGAACTGATTTGTCACTGATTTTCCACAGTCGTGTACTTATGCACAGGAAGGGAAGACTTTCCCAGCGTGTGCAGCCACAGGATCTGTAGCTCCCATAAATTCCTACATTTTAATTTTGTTACAGTCACTAGTACCATCCCTCAACTTCAAGCAGGCCGACAAAGGCAGTGAGTCTGGTTAGGAAGCTTTCATTAGATTTGCTATTGTAGGTTCGAAGACATCATCTCTCTGTGTCCTTTAAAACTGTTTATGGGGGACAACGTTTTACTGGAGCGTGAAGACAGGAATTAATACTCCAGTGCAGGAAGGATTATACTGGGGCCATCCTCTCACATGGATGTGCACACCAGCCCCTCTGGCTACGGAGAAGAAAACAAAAGAGAGTGAAGCAGAGGAAAATAGCATCGTATTCATCTCAACACAGTAGTGAGCTGTAACAGTAAAATAAGAATGAATTAATTATATTTATTACTTCCTCTTTGGGCTTTCCCTGGATATCAGGGTGTTATTTTCTTCTTTGGAAGTGATGTTACTTTGCTTTTCGATGCAGTTAAGTAGTAAATGTGGCAGGTTTTAGTTGCAGAATAGTAGTTATTTTAAAGTCTAGCATGAGAGTAACAATTTACTACGACTAGGGTGAATGAAGTATGCCCATTAGACTTGGTACATTAGGTCTGGAAGTGGGAGAATTGCTGGCCTGGCACCTTATGCCACTTTCCTATTCCCTCTCCATGGTAACAAAAATCAGGATTGACCTACACAAACAAAGCTGCTCGCCCTAAACGGAGCACAGCTCAACTATGGAGGCAGCGAGGCCAACTAGCTTTCAGTGCAGCTTACAGCAAAGAAGGTCGGGTAGTGTAAGTACCGACGCGGGTGACAATACGAAATGTAAGCTTGCTGTTTGGAGTCAGATCAGAATAATAATAAAGTAACAAATGGCATATTCATTATAGACATGGGTATAGGTGCGTGCATGCACCTGTCTATATTCTTGTTAACTCCTTACTTTATATATGTACACACACACGTGTCTGTCTTCTTAGAAATGTCTCAAAAGCTGCTTTTATTGTCATAATGAAAGAGTAGGACTCCTCTGAGAGCCATTTGTCTGAAAAAACTACTGTAAACGTCTTTTGAGTAGGCTGTCTGCACTCACTCAAGAGAGTTAAATCAGTAGAACTTTGACGAGACTAGAAAACCCACTAATATCTAATTACGGTGGAAACAATTGTAATGGTTGCATTTCTCTATGAAGCATGTACAGCAAAACAGTTACACTGTCGATTTAGTGAGCATTAAATCAGTTTGATATGCAAATGTAGGTGCCGGGCTACTTCATAAAGCTGCTATTATTTAAACATTTGTTTATTAAGCTGGGAAAATTAGAAGTGTCAGTAAATGGGATTCAAAAGCAAAGCAATGTCTTTTACCAACAGAGACTTTCTTCACATTTTTTATTGTCCACCTTTTGGAGTCAGCGGGCTCTAATTACAAGAGGAACAGCAATACTTTATATGAGGGTACTGCTGGGAGTACAGTGTAAAACAGTCGTTCTTGCACCTGACATGTTCCACCGTTATTCTTCCAGTATGACTAAAAAGGAGCAATTCTTGTGCTCCCTGGATTACCCCTGAGCTCTTATCTTTTTGATGTTAAGGGGTCATGGAAACAGCTTAAATTGTCCTTATCCATTTAATGCAGATTCAATTAACTCAGGTTAATGACTATGGGACAGAGCTCAGGGATTTGAGAGCTGCTCACATTGTTCAACCTGGCTTGTCCTGTGACATAAGCTGCATTTTTGGGGGGAGAAAAAAGGAAAAGATAGTGTGTTGTGAGGATGTAACCGGTCTGCAGGGAAGTGTAACCATTGTCTCTCAGGCATGCACAAATCTCATGGCTGCATCTGAGTAGAGAAGTGCAATACACAGTGGACCAAATCACTTACAAAAGGACTGCAGTGTATCTGTTTGCTAAACCTTTACTCTTCGGAAGTCTTCGGGAGTAATATGCTCCAACCTCTTAAGGCTTAGATGAGTATTTTCTTTGGGATGTAGTTTCATCTTCCCTTCATTAATATCTAATGGCCAAAAGAGTGAATATCAAAGAATTTGTTTCAGGGAGAGCGCAAAATTGCAGATTGTTGTCCAGTGAATACAGAAAATTATGTAGTTGTATAATATTTAATGGTGTGTACTTTTGAAATCTTACTTGGAAGTTTGCGACAGGATTACTCAGAAGAGCACTTTCTAACCTTTTCTTTTTTTTTTTTTTTTTTTTCCATTTACATTCACAGGATTTTTGAGCACTGGGGACCAAGCAGCAAAAGGAAACTATGGCCTCCTTGATCTAATTCAAGCTTTGCGATGGACTAGTGAAAATATTGGGTTCTTTGGTGGTGACCCACTAAGAATAACTGTTTTTGGATCTGGTGCAGGCGGTTCATGCGTCAATCTGTTGACTTTATCCCATTATTCTGAAGGTAACCGTTGGAGCAATTCAACCAAAGGTATTATGCAGGTTGCAAATTTTGACAATTTTGGTGTCTGCATGCCACCGCCATTAGTACTATGTGATGCTCTGTATATTCTCTTTGTTCCTATGAACTGTTGAGTTCAGCTCAATATTAAGCAAACGTTTTAAAGGCTGTACAAGCCACCTTCTCCCTCAGCTCTTCTCTGCATGTTTAAATTTTGGGTCACTTTCTTCCTTTTCCTATGGAGCTTTGTAGAAACACTTTATAGCAGATTGCTGAACAGCATTTTCTCGGTGCATCGTTTTTGTCTCTTTCCTTTCCTACCTAAGGGTGTCCTTTTTGGAAAACCAGTCAGTCATGCTCACAGTAGATGAGGTCATCTGTATTCAGACAGTCATGAAAGGCATGCTTAGTTTCTTATGAGGAGCAGAATTTAAAGAAAACTAAAATGACACAGTTTCTCTTTTCAGGCTAACAGCTGAAATGATTAAAACTATTGTTTTGTGTGAAGGAAACAAGTACCTAGTTCAGAAATCTTTTGTCTGGAACTGCATGAACTTCACTTGCTGTCATCTAATAAAAGAATGGTTGAATGTTTTGCATGCATGATCCAAAATTGTCAAAGCATCCAAGTTGCAAATGGATATTCTACTATATGTTTTTTCCTATTCCACAACTAACACCTTCTCTCTCTAGTCGAGGCAGACAGCGGGAAATTAAAACCATGCTGTTTGAGGCACCCAATATTTTTCCTTATGATTTTTGCCCCACAGTTCCACACAGTTTCTCTCATTTGCATGGCTGTTGCTTATTGATCACATTACTCTTGTCTCACCGTTTTCACACATTTTTATCTGTATTATTTAGTTTTATCAGGGACATCACATTGTGCCCTGTGCATACAATCCTCCACTAACTTATATTACTGTATCTCCATGGTGAACTAATTGGCCAATCATAACAAAAATAATTCCACAGACATTAAAAGAGCTGCATTTACCCAGAGTCATGATGCAGAGTCCACTGAGGTCAACAGAAGTGACAGATTTTTTAGATCAGTCCTTTACACTCTTTTAAATGAGAGAAAAATATGGCTTTTACAAAGAAGGTCTAGTGGAAAATAGACTGTAGTTTAAATTTTAGTCTATTTCCACAGCTCGATCTTTAATGTAATCTTCTTTCCCATAACTACCCACAGTTAAACAGGACATATTGATAAACTGACCTATAAGAACAAGATGTAAGCATTACCTCAGCACACTGTAATCTGAGGGTCTTTTTTCATCAGAACTCACAAAAATAACTTTTGTCATAGATGATTTAGCTTAAGGCTGAAAGGACACCTGTTTTTTTCTCCTCTAACTCTTACTTGATATTAATCTTGATCTTCTTGATGTAACATGACATTAACATGAAATGCCACATTTACAATATCTGGTCAGTTTTGTGTTGATCCGTATGAGCAAATTTTGCCCTGTCATATTCTAACACATGGCCAGAATTCTGCCAGGAGCAGAATTTGTTTAGTGAAACTGATGATGTAATTTGCCAACATAGCAGATCAAAGGATTTGGGAAGGGACTAAAGGATGCTTACAGATGTGTACTTAAAATCCAATTATAAAAGTAAAGTTTTGATTATTTCTTTTATAAAAAAAAAAGCAAAAACATGCTTTATTGAAATCGGGATCAAACAGAATGATGAGCCACACCCCCACGTATGTTATGTTTCTTTTGGTGATGGTTAGACCTGCCATTAAAATAAAAATTGGGCGGTTTCAAATAATAAAAGTTATTTCAAGTTTTCAAACACTTTTCTTAACTTTTCTTAACACTTTCAAAAAAAACTTTTGTTGTGGGAAGCCCATTATTAACCAGTCTGTTTCATAAACTGTAAATTCTGATGCTCTCTTTGCTTCCTTCATTTCCCTTTGAAAAGATCCCTTGGTAGCTGAGAGAAAGCATTCAACCAGTTTGAAGATGGTGCTTTTCCCAGCTGCCCATCTGCAACTGGGCAGAACAGGACCCATCTTTAGAAAGTGCTCTGAAAATGTAGATGAATATATGCAAATTATTATTATTTACTTCGGTGAGACTTTGAATAGAGTCACAAAATTATATGGTCCATTGAACATTTAAATATTTTCATCAGTCTGAAACCCATAAGCTATAATAATGATACACATTATCGAATAAAAATGTAGCTTTCCATCCTGTGTGATACCAATTTCTGCCAGGATTATGTGGCAGAATGAAAATAATTTTTCATACTGTTGTTCATTTTTCACCAAATGGTTTGAGAGGAGAAATATTTCCGTAAGCATTCTTCAGCAGAAGGAGAGATGTTTAGTTTCATTTCCTAAGATAACTTTATGGCCAGAGGATTTGACTGCTTTTACTTAATCCAACATTTAATGTTTATGTAGCACTTAGCAAGCCATAGTGTTTATATCAGCATTTTCTTAATACGTAGCTTACACTTTCTGTCCTTGTTCAGAGATATTTAATAAAGCAATAAAAATAGATTTACACAATATGCAAAAAAGAAACATTATGAAGTATCATGAAATACATCTTCGTGAAAATTCAGTTTTGTCATTTAGTTACATTTATTACAATGCTTGGATCCTCTGCGGTAATTCCACTGACTTTGAGCTGATTTATACTAGCTCAATATCTGACCTTGTAAACATGCAAATATATTTTTACCTGCTTTATAGCTCAAGTTCTTTCATATTTTTTATTCATATCTTACAAGGAAATAATATCTCGGATATGACTTCTCATAAATTTAAGGAGAGGCTTGAGTTTACATATTTCAGTCCCTACACCTATCTGATTTTAAGACTTTTGGATTTGGACCTAATACAGTCTAGAATTATTTTAAATTCCTCAGTAGCTTGTAAAATATTTTTCACTGGCAACCGATTCCAGCTAACTTCTGAGTGTATAGGGTCTGGCACTGCAGCAGAGGCTGTAAAGGTGTGTTTCTGGCTTGATTTAGAGGCTATGGAAGTTTTTTATCTATAGAAATATGTTACTTATCAAAGTAAGAGCCATCTTTGGCATTACTGGAAGAAAATTCTGAGGTAAGATGAGCACCTTAACTCCAGTTCCTTCAGTGGGAGTATCCAGCTATTCATCAGGCATTAGACCAAAGATACCTTCGTGCCAAATTAAGTGCGTGAGGCCAGGTGTCACTTCCAGTCACTAAGCAGCTCTGCCAAAGTCAGTGCAATTACTCCAGGTGCCTATCAGCTAAGTAAAACCAAATTTTGACCCATATATCTTAAATCAGCATAGCTTACATATGCTATAAGTCATTTTGTATTATCCATAGGAGGTAGGGTCCAGTATAAAATATTTTCCAGTAATTAGTGCAGATGTTTTGTCTTTTGTCTGAAATGAATGATAACACTTCCATGAAAATGTAAAAAACCCAGAAAGATCACAGTTACCTAAATAGAGTATAAGTTCCTGACGTTAGAGATGAGCATTATTTTGCACAAGGTTCAGACTCCAAATCTCTTCCAGAACCTGAACTACCATCCCCAAAGGGAGCAGGAAAAGGCAAGACCCCAACACAAAGGGAGGAGCCAAGAAGTATTGGGACAAGGGTGGAGTTTTGATTGCATTAAAGCCAATATCAAAAACATTGGATTGATTTATTGACTACAAGGGGGTGAGGCTTTCATCCATGATATACTCGAAAATGCTTACAGAAGGGAGAGGAAAATGTCAATTTAAACGTATTTTGTTATTTCTTTGAGTAGAATTCCTGGTCCGGAGTGCTAGTTAAATCAGCATAAATTCAAATTAATTGCACTGAAGTCTTTGGGATTTGCTATAAGTTTATATCCAGCACCAGATCATACTCTCTCTCTCCCCTAAATGAATACCTGAACGTATTTTAAAATCCCTGAATTACAAAGCTAAATAATGTAAAATCTATTATTTCCCTTTTTATGTAAGTGTGATCACTATAAACCTTCATTAAAAAAATGTCCTTACAAGAAAGGATCTTGACTCTTAGACACTTAAAAATTTAATGGCTGACTAGTACCTTCTCATCTATTACTCGAGAATGTAAACTCTCACTGTGACACACAATTCGGAAGCACTGCACCTCTCAAACCAAGTTTAATCCCAAACAAAACATAAAAAAGCAGTCTATTAGGTTCATTTAACACAGAGTTGTATGCACACGTGCTGCTGATGGCTTGAACAATATCCAGAAATTCAATCCAATTCAGATACCTGTTGGCTTTTACTCCAACCTATAAATTGCTTTTACTTTAGGAATTTATTTCAAGCTAATAGTGTTATCCTACATAAGGTAATGCCACTTCTTTTTCTTCCTGAGGGTTTGTTTGGGTTTTTTTTTCCAAAATCTGTTCCTCAGCTGGACTACATTGAGGTAGAATCATTTGCTTCAATTTCTGCACACATTGCATTTATTTTTTATACATTACCTGTAGGTACTATGACAGATCTCACCGTCTTGTGTATTTAAGTACTATTAGGATTCAAGTATCTCTTCTGTTAAAGTTTTGTATTGTTTCAAAGAACTCCTTTGAATCTTTCAAGTATGTAGCCGTTTCAAGGTCACTTCAGTAGTTTTTAAATATTTCTCCCCACAGGACTTTTTCAAAGAGCAATAGCTCAAAGTGGAACAGCTCTCTCCAGCTGGGCAGTTAGTTTTCAGCCTGCAAAATACGCCAGGATGTTGGCTACAAAAGTCGGTTGCAACATGTCAGACACTGTAGAATTGGTAGAATGTCTACAGAAGAAGCCTTATAGAGAACTCGTTGACCAGGACATTCAGCCAGCAAGATACCATATAGCCTTCGGACCAGTAATTGATGGCGATGTGATACCAGATGATCCTCAGATACTGATGGAACAAGGAGAGTTCCTCAATTATGACATCATGTTGGGAGTTAACCAAGGGGAAGGGTTAAAATTTGTTGAAAACATTGTGGATAGCGAAGATGGCATATCAGCTAGTGATTTTGACTTTGCAGTTTCTAATTTTGTTGATAACTTATATGGATACCCCGAAGGCAAAGATATATTGAGGGAAACTATTAAATTTATGTACACGGACTGGGCAGATCGACACAATCCTGAGACCAGAAGGAAAACACTGCTGGCTTTGTTTACTGATCACCAGTGGGTTGCACCAGCAGTGGCTACAGCAGATCTTCACTCAAATTTTGGATCGCCTACATATTTCTATGCCTTCTACCATCATTGCCAGACAGATCAAGTACCTGCATGGGCAGATGCTGCCCATGGAGATGAGGTCCCTTACGTACTAGGAATCCCCATGATTGGTCCTACTGAGTTATTTCCTTGTAACTTCTCAAAAAATGATGTCATGCTAAGTGCAGTGGTGATGACGTACTGGACAAACTTTGCAAAAACTGGGTGAGTACCAGATAATGAATAGTCTTGTATACAAACTCAGGATATAATGATGCAGTGTTTTCTCTTGGTTATCTCCCTTGGGAATGCCCCTGTACTTGTATCATGTATAAGAGATTAAGAATTGGGTTGGGTATTTATGTTTATTGTAATGTCCCTCAGCTCACTTACACATTCTGGCAAAAAGAGAGAAAAAATATCTTTGCGAACATTCTGCATGAAGAAATTAAAAAAATACCCTGTACACAAAAGTAATTAAGGGTTCACCAGAAAAGTGCAAAACTAAGCATTTAACGTAAGCGTGTAGTTAAAAATGGTTACATTAGTAACTGACTTTACCCCAGCACTGATAATATTTTCAACCCATGAGACAGAAAATTACATATATATCGCATCATATATAATACAGCTTATTTTAATGATGTGTTTACTTTTAAATTGTCACTTCCAACCATAAAATACGTGACTTTAAAACTTCAAAAGTTTTGTCATTTTATTTAATTCTTCCTTCACTGGTAGTTCAAAATGGTTTTCTACCTTCAGCCATTGGACTCTAAGTCACTCTGTGTTGCGCTGATTTATGCCCTGCCATGGTCTTTCATCCCTGGAAGGCCACAGATGCTGCATGTGAACTGAAATGCTGAGCTTTGTGAGCTTTATGTTGCTAAAAAAGAAAAGCAAAGCTTCGTGTCCTCTCACGCTGGTCTCTCATAGACATTTGTCCGCATTACCACGTTGCTGGCAATCTGTCCTCAGTGGCAAAAGATTTCAGTGTGAGAGACACTAGCATTTTGAGGAACTAGGGAAGTTGCTAAAGTCTATGTAAAAGAAGGGTTCGTTTGCATAATGCTGTTTCTAATCAAGAATATTAAGGCCTCTAATTTTAGGAAATAACATTCTGCTTTGTCCAAGGGCAGACTTAAACATTAAGTATAAAATCTTAATTATGTTAATTTTTTAAATTCTTTTTGAAATACTATGTAACATTGGAGATTTTTATTTTTTTTTTTGTGTAGTGACCCAAATCAACCAGTGCCACAAGATACAAAATTCATCCATACAAAACCAAATCGTTTTGAAGAAGTAGCATGGACCAGATATTCTCAGAAAGACCAACTGTATCTTCACATTGGATTAAAACCACGAGTTAAAGAACATTATAGGGCCAATAAAGTGAACCTTTGGTTGGAACTGGTACCTCATCTGCACAATCTTAACGACATCTCACAGTATACCTCTACCACAACTAAAGTGCCATCAACTGATAATACTTTCAGACCAACAAGGAAAAATTCTGTTTCTGTTACTTCAGCCTTTCCTACAGCCAAACAAGACGATCCCAAACAACAACCAAGCCCATTTTCCGTGGATCAAAGGGACTATTCAACAGAATTGAGTGTTACTATTGCAGTTGGTGCATCTTTGCTGTTCCTGAACATTTTGGCCTTTGCAGCATTGTACTACAAAAAAGACAAGCGGAGACATGATGTTCATAGGAGATGTAGCCCACAACGTACTACTACCAATGATCTTACCCATGCACAAGAAGAGGAGATAATGTCCCTCCAAATGAAGCACACTGACTTGGATCATGAATGTGAGTCCATCCATCCACATGAGGTGGTTCTTAGGACCGCCTGTCCCCCAGACTACACGCTAGCTATGAGAAGGTCTCCTGATGATATTCCCTTAATGACACCCAACACCATCACAATGATCCCCAACACTATACCAGGGATTCAACCCCTACACACATTCAATACATTTACCGGAGGACAGAACAATACTCTGCCCCATCCTCATCCCCACCCCCATTCACATTCAACAACCAGGGTATAGCCAGACAAGACAAAACAAACTTTATTTTTTGATGGATTACAGTAGGTGATATTACTGAAGATTACTTGGCTTTCAACCTACAAGACTCTTACTATTTAAATATGGAGGAATATTATGTGAATATACATATCAAGAACTTTTGGGGTTTTGAAAAAAATGAATTGTACATATATCAAATGAACTTAAGAAACAAACAAAAGAAAAAACAAACCCAACTGTCTGCAATTGCTTGAAGCAGTTGTCCTGAATGATACTTTGTCATTCACATTCAAGTATTAATTTTTTGAAGATTTAAGTTACATAATGGAATTAGGCATGTGCAACACAAACAGGAAAGAACTATGACTGAAAATTTTAAAAAACCTATAAATATGCACAAGGGACACACTAATGGAATGTCAGATAATTTTCACCAATTTTTATTTGGACCTGTTTTCTTGTGTAGACCATATTTACATATTTGAATAAGTACACAAAGCACCAATGCTGTTAAGGCCTTAGAAAGGGGCTCATGCTGAAATCTGCCAGTCAAAGAAGTTTTACAGCCTGGCAGGTACAACATTATCACATAAGTGCTGTCAGTATAAAAGTTGTGGGAATAAAGGAAACTGGGTATTTTTAGCACGATGTGCATGATAATTTATATGCTTGGTGGCTGTGCTGCTGATTAAGCCGTAATTAAAATTCTCCTCATCCCATTGGAGTTTTAATAGAAGCTTTCTCCATCAATTGGCACAACCTAAAGAAGTTTTTTAAAGGGGCAAAAGTAATTACAGTAAAATATTTCATGGTAGCTTCAGAAATAGAATGAATTGCAACAAGTTCTTAAAAGTATTTATGGCATTCTAGTTATCCAGTGGTGAACCCTCGTTGATACAAATCCCAGACCCCCCCCCAAAAAAAAAAAGCTATATTATTAACGTTCTTTTTCCTTTCCACCTAAATAATTTCTAACTTTAACATAACTATAAATTTAATGGAATCTCCTTTGATGACGGATTTATAATTTGCTGTGATTTAGTTACAATATATTTAGTTCAAATTGGTAAGGTAAAGTGTGTCCAAGAATTTAATTGCAATGATATTTTGCAATGGAAAAAATGCCCCAATATTACCGTTCTGATTATGCCTTTCAGTTTATTCTTCAAACTCATGTTGCATGTTACAAAGTTTACTTATAACGCTTTCCTATAAAGTTATTTCCCTTTTTGCTATACGTTAACTTTGCCATTCAAATGAATTCTCTAGACCAGATGGCAACAGTGTAGAAAAAGAGGGTGCATAAGAATGAGGAGAGAGCCAACAACTGGAAATTTTACAGTCTGAATATTACGTATGTTTGTGTGATTTGAAATGAATGTTCTAAAATCACAAGAAATTTTTCATTCCCCTGTTGCTTTCCAGCAATGATATACCACAGTCCTTTCAAAATGTTTGTATATGTAATCAGATGTACATTTATATAAAAGAAAAAATTGAGATGGACTTAAGAGCACATCCCTGATAAATACTTTCTCTCTTACCTGTACTATATTTCTATTAGACTAAAGTTATGTGATTTTTTTTTACATTTTTTCAAATTACTAGCAATTTTGATAGTTTGTAAGATAATGCGAAGAACTTTCTCTGACAAACTAACTGCAGTAACAGAAACATTTCTTTTCAGTTACTCTTTTTCAAGAATGAAAGCTTATTACACACAAAAATTGTATACTACTTGATGGAAAATTACTTTGTACTTCTTGGCCATAATACTGGTCACTGAGTGAAATAAAGATAATCTGGATAATGAATATTATTCCAATGCTAAGAGATCTGATATTTGCTCATTAAAGAGCTAAAATGTTTATTGCTGTTTTGTCATTTTTTAATGAAGTAATGGTAACTGTCTCAAATAAAGAGTAATATCTTAAGACCAGTCTGGTTTTTGAAGACATGAACATGCCTTCTACAGCTAATACGACTACATAATTATGGGACAGTCCCACCTACAACCATTTCTTACAGAAACACTGACATTGTGACTCTATGATTGTATTACATGCAAATCTCCCCTAGTTTTCAGGAATAAGGTAAAAGTGCAAATATCAATACTGAAAAAAAAAAAGCCAAGGAACCGGCTTAATTGAAATAAATCTGCAATATTCTGTGAGGGGAAAAAAAAAAAAATCAGGTTGGTTGGGTTGTTTGGTTTATTTTTTTTGTGATTGAGCTTTCATTAAAGATTGCTAGGAAGTTCAAAGTGTGTTTGCTAACATCAAGCATAAATGTTAAAACTGAAGTTGAAAGCAAAATAAAGTATTGCAATTTCAGTCATTTTATTTAGCTATTAACCACCCCCACAACCCTCCCCCCCCCAAAAAAAAACCCACAAAAATCCATGTATTTAATTAGTGCTTGTTACAATCCCCAGTTTTAACTTACATTCTTTTGGTAGAAGCATAAAAATGAGTCTTCAAAATCCAGGGTGGTCTGTGTGCAATTTCTGCCTGATGTGGTTGTGCTTTTAGACTGTGACCTGCCAATGTAAACCAATAAAAAGAATTGTCTGCCATCTGATAATTATTGTTTAATAGGAAGATTGTATTTTGCTATGTTGATGAAACAAAAGAAAAAAAAAATACAAAAATATTGATGGCCATAAAACAAGATATTCATGAAATATGATTTTATGTGCTTTTCTTAACTTTATCAAAACCAAAATAACTTTCTACTATAGTTTATTTGTGGCCATATATCTATATATCTCTATATATACAGTACCTGGTAATTGTTTACTTTTATTAGTTACAAAATAAACGATTTAGGTAAACCAAGCATGACACTACACTTTGTTTCTGTCAGCCAACAGTATTCAGAATGTGAAAGATGAAGGCAACAACACAAATTTTATCACTCCTGTTTGGAAAAAGAAAAGTGTATTCCTGTGATGCAGATTTTGGTGGCTACTTCATAATCACATTACAGCAGCTGGCTTTCCAAAAGTGAGATGGTGTCCCACATTTTAACACAGCATTAAGAAAGACCAAGAGATGTTTTAAAGCTGAAACAAAATAAAAGTATAGGAAATGGTTTTGGAATATCTTCATTATGCTTCATGAAATATAAGTTTGTTCATTTAAAAATATTTATCTGTTTGATTTGTTTTCCACGGTAGCCTACAAGAAAGCAAAACTGAGTGTGATATTTAATTTCTTGTATCATCCTTGGACCAGATTTTCAATAAAATTAGGATATCAGTCAGTCTTTGAAGTTCAGTAAAAATATAAAAAGCCTGCGTTTATTGCTTTCACACTTTTGTAAATATGTTTGCAGACCTTTTTAAGAAAATGTATTCTACCATTTTGAGAAAAAAAAAAATAACAATGGAATCATTGTCTCGTTTATCTATTAAATCTACAGGCAATATAATGTGCTGTGCTGACATTTCTAGGAGAAATAAAGCAGATAAAACCGCATTTTGCTCAATGGTATCTCAGTTGGTTGTACATGGTGTTCTCCACCCACAGAAGACTTTCAAGGGATGGATGAACTACCCGAATATAATGTTCTGCAGGAAAATGGAGTTGTTGTTTTCGTTGTCTGTACTAAACACGGATTCCTTTGTCACAAGACTTTAATTATTGGATTATTAAAATACCCTGAAAATGAGGATGAATAGAGGTCTAACAAATAAACGTGTTACAGCTTTAAAGACACAACTGCCCAGAAAATGCTGGAATTTCTGTTGCCAACTTCACTAAGAGATGAAACAGCTGAATTCATAGGAAGCTGTCAAACATCACGACATTCCTTTGATGTTTGTAAGTTGGATTTTTCCTGTGGTGTTTAAAATATTGGCCTTTTCCCCTGCTTTTTTTTTTTAGTAATGAGCTGTTACAGATGATCACTTTTTAATGTAAGCGAACATTAGATAATTTAATTATTATTGTGAAAATGTGCTCCCAAATAAATTAGATTAATGGGAAATTCCCTGTAGAGGTTTTGTTATTTTTCATTTAAAGCTCTTGTCAAAATATCTGTTGTAGCAGTTTGGGGGTTGGGTTTTTTTTTCAGCCTGTAAGCTAGGGGACTTTCTCCAAATAACATCAAAAATCTCTTTTTCTATTTGAAATAATAACACTGTAAGATTAAGATGTCCTTCTGAGACCTCCAAATAAACATGAACAATCTGAAACATGGAGAACAGGCTTATAGTCTAAACGTTCTGATTTGATTTAATTCCGGCACATCAATACCTTTGTATGCAGACTAGAAATTAGCAGCATTTGATAAGGCGTTCAGGAGAACTATGCAGCAGAATCAGTGAGTTCGCCACCAACCATGTGCGAAGCCCCTTTTCTCTTAGGTTCCGTTAATGCTATTGTATAATTGATTTCTTATTTACAGATTGAGTAAAAACTTAACTTTGTGCAATGGGAAATGGTTAGAACAACGTAATGAACCTTATCTGGTTGAAAATGTTTAGGAAAAAACTGTTGAGAATTACCTAGGAAGTGTAGATTTTCATGTGCTACCTGGCTGCATTCCTTTTTGTTGATATTATAATTCTTAGTAACTCATACACATGGGAAACAATCATTTCTGTAATAAGCTTTAGTTTCTAAAAAGAATTTAACTATTGTATGTAAACTGTGGATTAAAGCTTATTCTGAGTTTAGTTTCCCTTGCCATTGGGACGAATGAAAAGACCTCGTAGAAGTGCAACAAATTTGTACAAATAATTTTCATTCAGTATCTTGATTGTGTTTTTTATTTGAAGATAAAAGTACCATCGCTACAGTAAAAGCTGTGTGTGTGTTTGTCAATGAAAATCACCTTCTTGTATATGTATGCATCTTACTTTCCCTGTGCATACCCCCATACACCACTCCACCTAATAGAGGAGATTTCAAAAATATGAATAAACAGAGAATTTTTTTGCACCCTGCAGAGTCAATTCAAAGGTAAATGCAAGTGCTCAGTGTGGAGGCAACACTGGTACCTCATTCTGCATTCTCCACTCTTATTGACCAGATGCTCAGCTGATGACTTTTTTTTTTTTAGCACCGGCTGAATTAGTATTTATCATAGGACCATTGAAATCAATGAAGCCCTGACAATTTACACCAGCTATCGATCTGCTTCCGGACCTTTAATGTTCAGCATGGCTCATCTCACCATCCAATTTTGCATATCTTCTCACGCACATGAACACCCTCTCACAGAAATTATTACAAGTATAACTACCTGATTTATGAGCACTATCAGGCACTAAAATGTGCTTTAAAATATGCTTATAGTTATTGGTGTGTAAGTCCAAAATTCAGAAAAAAAGAGCTTTCTACAAAATAATAATAATAAAAAAAATATCCCTGAAAATTGTGCTGATACAAAGAAAGGGTTTGTACCACAGTTTGCAGCCTTAACATGCTATAGTAGGTTTTATGTTAAAGTCTTTTTAGAAAGAATCGTTTGGTTCTGTCTCATCCTCAAATCTATATGTTGACCTATATGTCGAAGACACAGTGACACTTCACAGCAGCTGTAAGCCTGCTCTGCCGTGCTCCATTCTGGAAGGGAAGAGACTTACAAGTGAGCTACATGCTTGCTGTAAATTCAGGACAGAAATAGCTGGATTTTCTCTAAGTTCTCCCTTCTCAGTGTCAGCAATGCCAGGCACTTAGTGTTTATGAGCTTAGCTTTAGAAGGATGCCATTCAAAAAAATAATAAATGTGGAGTTCTTAAGTCTATAGGGTTGAGCAGTTAGTATTCAGGTTTTCTGCTTTACAGCTGTAAGAGCCGGTAACTTTTTTTCAAACAAAAGTTGATAATACTGGCAACCGGAGATGATAATACTAGAGCTTTATTAATGAGAAGTTCATGAAAGACTGTGTGAGCTGATAACATTTTAACTGCATTATTTAAAAAAAAAAAAAAGGATAAATTTTGCATGCAGTGATTTTGTTCTGTTGCTGGGAATGTTAATGAGAATCTCACTGTTGGCTTTACTGAAAGCAGGATCACTTCAGAAATCTGTATGAGCTCCTGTGAGGTCCATATAAAAGTTAAACAGCTATAACCATGGCTTCTAAGAGCCTCTGGATGTTTCCAGACCTCCCTGAGTTATTTATCCATCCGTATTTCTGCAAAGAGGAGCCTGTATGTTCAGGTATTCATGCTTGGTGGCTGAATGCAGATAGTTTCTTCCCCAAAAGACACATCACCACGATACTGCAAAACCAGTCGATATACCTTATTTTCCAGCAGGTCTTGTGAGCTTGGTCTCAGTGCTGGGTCAGTGCAGCCCTAGGCTGGAGCGTGATTGTATCCCATGGACAGGAAGGATAGAAAAAGAAAACTTGTGACTGCAAAGCAGTCGTGGGCCAGACCCAGCACATCATATAAATCTTCCCTGGAATAAAATGAGGGCTGGGGCAGAACCTTCTGGCACGAGGCAGTTTGGGAGAGTGAGATGTGCACCTATTTCCTCCATTAATTTGTAGAAACAACTTCAGCAGCAATTTAAAGCTCTTAAAACTATATGAAAGGTTCTAAAAATAATATACGGTTTGTTTGTCATCAAATACATTTTCAGCAGAAGTCATGCAGTATTTTACTGATTGATAATAAAGATATGGTTGTACAACGTTGTTTTTCTACTTTTCACAAGGTTACTCCTATGTAGTGGTGAAATTTGGCTAAGCAGATGTATACATTTTCCTCTCATTTGCATACAGGTAAGTCTAGAGCAATTTCATGAACGTGGAACTGTGGACCTTCACTAAAAAAGGTAAGTAACATCCAAAACCAATTACTCTTGGCCAGCTTGTAGAGATTCCCATATTAAACCATGTGATGATTTTTAGCATTCTTGAATTTACCATAAATATATTTTTCTCTCCCCAGTTAGTAACTGGAGTAACTGTTCGCTGCTCGTCACGGACGATAAAGATAGGAGGAACCATTGGTTTCTTCTCATGAGTCATGATTTTAGTGTCCAAGATCAAAAAATGTAATAGAAGAAGAAAAATAGCAAAGCAGATTTTGTGGTCTGGGTTGGGTTTTTGTTTGTTTGTTTGTTTGTTTGTTTGGGGGGGGGGTGTTTTTGTTTTTGTTTTTGTTTTTTTATAGGTCCGTTTGGGTATCTTGATTCTCTGAAGGATCACCAGAGCCCAGGAAAGGATACAACCTTAATTGTTGCAGCCAGGAGCTTTGTTGGATATTTTCCTTTTGCCTTGTCCAGGAGGAAAGGGAGGGTTAAGTTCATGAAAGGAGATTCTCCAGCAAAACACTCCCAACCGTAGCTCTGAGACACACCAAGGAAGTGTGAAAACACTTGTAAATTCTGCT